GTGTTGGCAAGACTGTCGAGGGCCTTGCGGGCGTTGAAGTACAAGCAGTCAAGCAAATCGAGACGAAATATTAGGAAATGGACAAGGCATGACGCACTGCTATTGCTCAGCGTGGAAATGAAGTGTTTCTTTGAGACTCTACCAGTAAGGCGTGGGGGAAGATTGCAAAAGAGACAGAGTGGGGGAGGGCGGGAAGCATGAATGAATGCAGTATAGAAGAGCGAAGATACACAACGGATACTGACTGCCTGTGAGATACCGAACGCAAACCGTGCACAGGATGAGATCAAAAGTTACCGTTGTGGAGCCACTACGGCATGAGGGCGTGGTCGTCTTCCGAATGGGCACGGCTGCTGTCTTTGTGCCCTTACTGATGAGAGAAAGGAGTAAAAAGGAGATGGATGCACATCGCGCTCACCCCGTGTTTTTTTGTACAATCTGCACTTGCGTCACCAACGTATAAAGAAAGAGGGAGACAGGCAGACGACGAGATGTAAATATGTCTTTACGGTAACGGTACTGTAACTTGGGGATAGAGGCATGCATCGCTTAACATAATAGATACTGTACGTGTCCTGCATTGCTTGCAATCTCAATAAAAAAAATCTTGCGTCTGAGATATCGTACAACTCCCTTGCAGTGGCGGAAGGAAGATTGTGCTTGCAAGTAGTTGCATCATAACTGGAACAGTGGGACCAACGCATTAGTGCCGCCCCGAGCGAGACCCCAAAATGTGCACTATTCGGAGACAGCATTAGTAAGTGACATAGTTGAGAAATTCGAGGAGGTTGAGTTCGAGAGTGGGGACCATTATGGACTGACGAGTGTTCAATTGAAGTGATTTGGGCTTCTCGCTTGCTACGCGGAGCAGTGCTGGAGCAGTTGCTTTGATTTTGCGTGCAGTGCGCTCTGCAATGCCGAACTGCATAACTGCTGGTGTGCGGTGTCCGTTGTGGAGCAGATCTGCGATTTCGAGCTTCTGCGAATTGTCTGTGACATGTATGACACGTACGGACGGTAGCATAACAGCCGGACCCGTATGAAACGTGGCACTTTTCGTGTTCGAGCGTCTGGGCCTGCACCATTGGGAGTGGCTTAAACAAAAGCGGCACTACTGCGTAGGACCCACTGTACACCCTAGGGTACACTTGGTAGCAGTACTACCCACACGTATGGCGGCCGTCAGACACGCGTGCCGTAAATGCACTCCCCTCGGCAAGCGCGTGCGCGGTATCTTCCAGTGACGAGCGCGCGCATTGCGAAATAGCGCGACGCGCTTCTGTCGCAGGTTTGCGCGATAGGGTGCGCAGACTACTTTGTTGGGTGTGTGTGTGGGCTCGCCTTCGTGCCATGGTGCTTGCCGTGATATTTTCCGTGATGCTTCGAGGCGGGTGCGCTGCTCTGGGGCTGCATTGAGGTCAAAAGTGCGCCCGATGGGACGGCGCAATCCGTCGACTCGGCGTGTGGTATCGAAGCAAGTCTCGGTTTCCTTGGGAGGCAGAGGAGCCAGAGTAGGGCGAAGACTACGACGACCAGGATGGCGGCGACGATGGAGCCGATGGTTATGACGACTATGGCGCCGGGCGAGAGAGCAGACGCGCGGACGACTTGTGCGTTGAGGGGCAGAATCATAGCGCGTTAAGGAGGGGAACATGCGGAGCGCGGGAGAGGAGAAAGGGGAATGTCATTGCAGATATATATCTCGGATGATGGCAAGCACTGCAACACAGCGTAATACGGCGAACTCTTCGTTAAGAACACCCCCAACGGTGGATGAGGACAAGCACGGACTTGTCACCCACCGACCGTCAAGGTACGACTTCCCGCTTATTCTAAGGTAACGCTCGCTAATTACCTTAAAGCGGCACCGAGCGCGGGTTGAGGACGCGCG